GTAAGGATGCTGCTAATTCCATCCTTCTTTCCTAGTTGTCAGCGTCTGCTTTGACAAAGAGCTTTTTCCTTTTTCCTCGTGTGTGTTTACAACCACGTGGACTCATGGACTTTCACTTTACTTTTTACAAGGCTATAAGAGGGACTTGCCTGGGGGCCACTGAGCTCCCAATGCAGGTGGCCTGGGTTCCACCCCAGTCGGAAAATGAAGTGAAGATGGAAGACCCCCCTGCTGCCACCAAGACCTGCCTGAGCCAGATAAATCAATAAACGATAGATGTTTTTTAGAGGCTATCTAAGTAAAAGTTACAATCTTTTATTACCATCGTCTTTTTTCATGCTCAGGTGGCCCCAGATTTGCCCAGCGGGAGGTGGCCTTTCGGGCTGGCCTCTGTGTCCTTTGGCAATAGCCCCCTTGCTCTGATCACTTCCTTGCTCTTTTGTAACAGAAAGATCTAGGCTTATCTTTTATTCTCTCTGCCCCAGTCCTGGGATCAGCCCTTTCTCCAAGTAGTCTTAATTCCTATCTGTGAAGAACGGTGTTTTGTAACTGAGAAACGCGTGCTCCTGTTGCTCTGGAGCTTGACACCGTCTTAGGGGACGAGGCTGGGAGGGTGATGGTCACACTCACAGCTGTGTGAGCGAGTGGCCCACACATGTCTGTGCAAGGTGCAGACTGTGTCCACACGCAGCCTGCCAGCGCCAGGGGGTGGGGCGGGTGCTCACGGGGGCCGGGGGGCCGGTGCTGCAGGAGGTGTGGCCGTGGGCTGTGGGAGAACCAGCAGAGAGTGCTGGGGCAGGCGTGGGGAGCACTGCAGCCACGCAGGGAGGTGCCTTGACCTCCACCTGTCTGCCTCTGAGACTGTGGGTGAGTCGCTGCCCCTCCCTGAGTTCAGTTTTCTCATTTTAAAAATTAGGGTCTCAGGGACTTCCCTGGTGGTCCAGTGGCTAAGACTCTGTGCTCCCAATGTAGGGGGCCCTGGTTGAATCCCTGATCAGGGAACTAGATCCCACATGTCGCAGTGAAGGTTGAGGATCCCACGTGCTGCAACTGAGGCCTCGTGGCCCGGACGTCTTCCCCCCAGGACACAGCAGGCGTGGGGCCTGGTGTGCTGGGGCAGCCTGGTCTCCGTAACGTCCTGCTCTTCATCCTAGGGTCTCCCAGCTGCTTGGCTCCAGAATACTGCCATCTGAAGCCACTCTGGCAGGCCTGAGGGTAGCGGTCAGTGGAGGGAGGCGTGGGTCTAGCCCAGGGAGGGCTCTGGTGTGGGGTGGTTGACGGTGTCCTCCAGGCCCTTAGTGACTGGCAGCCTGGGCCACTGGGCCTGCTCCTGGAGACGTGTGGGCGGGACTGGGCATTGGTGTTGCTCCTGCTTCGTCCTCCCCAGGGCAGCGCTTCGGCTCTAAGCAATGCAGCCCGGGGGCCTCCTGCCTCCCTGGAGCCGCGCAGCTGGCTTGGGTGGGGCAGAGCACAGAATGCAACCAGGGCAGGGCTCCCCAGCAGCCTCCCCCCCAGTAGGCGTGGGACCAGGTGAGCGGAGGGCGTCTGGGTAGGGGGCAGGCCCTGGCCGGTTCTCCCTCTGGTGGCCCGCAGAGCCTCTTCCTCCCCAGGCCTGCCTCCTCCAGGGAGTCCCGCCACATGCCTCACACAGAGCAGGCCTGGCAAGGCCTGCGGCCACTCTTGGCCCAGGTCAGGTGTTTAGTCCCGTTGTCCTGACCCCTCTGCCTGTGTTGATTCAGTGAAATGCAGAGACTTTACCACACAGGAGAGTTGCATCCCTTGAGACTGACGGACCTGCCGTCTCAGCCCCAAAGCCTGGCCCTGTGTCTGTGTTTCCAGGCCTGGCCTGTGGCCGGAGGAAGGATGGTCGTGTCTGGGGGGGCTGGGCCGTGACGGCAAGCAGGCTGCAGCTCACACCACCCCCTGGGTCCTGCAGTGCCTGGAAGCCGGCTCCACCAGGGCTGTGTGTGCCAGGGAGGGGAGACCCCGAGGAGGAAGGGGGGTGACCCCAAGGCATGGGGTGGGAGTCGGGGGGCTGTGGCCAAGCTCAGCCATGAGGGTGAGGTTCCCAGGGCTGTTGGCAGGGACACGGCCGGGGTGTGGGTGGGAGCCGAGGTTCTGGAGGAGGGGACTCCCCGAGTGGGTGCGTCAGCCTCCCACCTTTGGCCTGGTGCTGAGGCTTCTGGGGGTGCAGACCAGGGCAGCGGGAGGTTTGGGCTCAGTTGGGAGGAAGGCTGGGCGCACCGCCCTCTGCGGACCTGGGGGCCCAGTAGCTGCCCGCTCCTTACCCGGCCCCCGGGGTTCCTCTGGACTGGGTGGTCTCGGGCCTCCCTCCCATGTGTCTAGGACCACCGGCCCTGACACGGCCGACGTGGGGTCGGACAAGGCCTGAGGGAGGCTGGGAGCCCACACTGTCAGCCCTCTGGGGCTTGTGAGTGTTCGGGTGGGAGCAGACATGCCGGGGGCCCTAAAGTGTGAGGACACGTGCCTTGAGGGTGGCCTCCTCCACATGCCTCCTCCTGTTTGACTTGCCACCCTCTCTGGGGCTCCCTTCCTGATACCTCCTATTAGGGGAGACTGGGTCCCGGCTCAGGACGGGGACACCCGGCCAGGTGGGGCAGGCCGGGGACGTGACCGTGTGCTCTGCTGAGGCTGGAGACGTCCGGGGCGGGGAGGATGGCTGCTGTGGTCGAGTCTGTCACCCCGCTGGGAGGACCTCACTGAGGCTGCAGCAGAAGCGAGACGCTGGGCACGGTGCAGCCCCGTGGGGAGGTTAGCTCTCCCCTGCAGAGGGGCTGCGGGGTCCCAGTGTCCTCCTCCTGCTCTGGGTCAGCTCTGGCTTCCCTCAGGGCTGCTGCTGTCCAGCGTTGCCGCGGGGCCCCGGCTCACACGGCACCCTGACCCACCGAGGGTGGGTGTGCTGCCGCGGTTACAGAGAAGAAAGTGGGACCAGAGACGAGAGTGGCTCGTACTGGGCCCGCCGGGACCTGCTCTCCGTCCTTGGGGGTCCCTCCAGCGTAGTGTGGGGACAGGGCCCATCCTGGGACACCCCCGTGTAGACAGTACCACTCCCTGTCTGCTGCTGGGAGAGTCATCCCTGGTCTTGGGGGGCCCTTGGCCTCTGTGAGCCCCAGGCCGGCAAGAGAGAGCTGCAGGCAGAGGTCACAGGCAGGGCCTGCCCTACTGCGGCCTCAGCACTGTCCTTGGAGCTGGGTTGTTGGCCTCCAGCCTGAGCTGTGTCCGGGCGCCCCTTCCAGCCTGGCATCCTGTGGTGTCCTGCTGGCCAGCCGCTCCTTCCTCCAGGGCCTGGGGACTTTGTCTTGCGGGCAGAGCTATGTTGCTGGGGCGTTCCCTGGCACCCCCCGCTTCCCCTGGTGCCCAGGGGACAGGATCTTGGCAGTCCAGGGACAGACAGCTCCCTTCAGGCTGTTGCGGGGGGTTGATGTCCAGGGTACAGCCCGGCGCCACCGTGAGCTGGGGGCTTGAGGTGGAGGAGGCCGGCCGCCCTGGTGGGTGGTCACGGAAGCTGCTCTGGAGGAGGCCTCCTGGGGAGTGGGCATTGCTCACTGGAGTCTGGCCGGCAGTTTTGAGGCAGCCCGGGGCTCCTCCTGGGCGCCCCAGCCCAGGGGCGTCCTCCGGCCCTCCGGCCTGGCCCTGCTGCAGCTTCCACCCGCCCGCTGGGCTGCCAGCAGCTCTCCTCTTCCTGCGGTGGCTGCCTGCTGCCCGCCCTCACAGTGAGGACACCCTGGTGGAGAAGTCGGCCGTGAGCTGGCTGTGCGGGGTGGGCGGGAACAGGGGACGGAAGCCGAGGGCGCAGCCTGGCACAGGGCGGGGGACGGGCCCGCCAGGGACGGGCGCCCAGACCCTTGAGGCTCAGAGCCCTGCCGGGGGGCGGGCCCGGGCAGCAGGCTGAGGACACCCTCTGGGCATCCTCTGGCCGGGCTGGCTCTGTGGTCCCTGAGGTGGGTGGGCTCCATCTCCCAGTCTCCGAGCAAAAGCACAGGCCGTAGGAGACTGCAGGCTAGATGAGGGAGCAGGCTGGGGGTCTTTCCCTCCATCTCAGACCAGGATGTCGGTGGCAGCCTTAGGCCTGTTTCTGCCCCTCAGGCAGCCTGTGCTGTTGGTTGGTCCCCACAGCCCCGTCCAGCTGCCCACCTGCGGCCAGGCGCAGGGTGCACCCTCGGCCCGGCAGGTGCCTCGTGCTGCCCGCAGCCTCCGCCTGTGGCCGAGGGATACCTCACATATGGTGCCCCTCCTGTCTTCCTGGGGCTGCCCTGCTCCTTCCTCCAAGCCGTGGCTCAGAGGCTTGGTCCCCTGCTCCCTGCTCCCGCTTGAGCCGCGACCCCCAGGGGTATGCAGACCCCCAGGGTCTCTGAGAGCTCCCGTGGGAGCCCTCGCCACCCACACGGCCAGGTCCCTGGACCCAGCCCTCCTGCCCACGCTGGACGCGTGCCTGGCGCATGGCGGGTGCACGGCTGTCCTCCTGGTCCCCACCTGCCCTGAGTCTCGTGGCCACGGAGGACAATGCTGGGGGCCCCCTGGGTCTTGTCAGCTCAAGGCAGACACCCCTGCAGCTGTTTCCAGGCCGAGCCTTCTGGAGGAGGATTGCACTGGGATTTTGCAAATTAAGCTTTAATGTTTTAAAAGTTTCCACGCATAAAGTTTAGAGAGAGAAGGAGTGCTGCGTGGTTTATTCAGGGAGAAGTCCCCCCACCCCTGCCAGCCGCCTGCCTCCCGTCCCGTGGCTGCGTTGGGTGCTTCTAGGAGGCTGTTGACACTCTGAGTGACACACTCGTGTCGCTCTTTACTGCTCGATCTTGTTTCTATGTTTAGACATTAGTTGTTGACTTGCAAGGTGAGGTTGCAGCACTCAGGCTCCTGGGCGGGGTGGGTGGAGCCGGAGTGAAACTTGAGTTCCAGCTCTGATCCCCTCCCCTTCTCCCCCCACCCCGTGTTTTGTTTCCTCTGCAGGAAGGTGCAGCCCTGCGTCCTCTGAGAAGATGTCTTATGGATCCATCGCAGGCAGTGGTGGCCTGGGGAGCCGCGGCCCTTTCGGGGGGCCCTCCCGGCAAGGCTATAAGCCCCTAGGTAAGGGCAGCGCGGGTGTGTGGGGGTCAGCCAGGGGCAGGTCTCCCTTGTGGTACGCTGGTAACCATGGTAACCATAGGAGGATTCTGTCCTTCTGGCAGGCCCTGCCTGTGACCCCGCATTGGGGGTGACCCTGGCCCTGGATGGGCCGGGGTTGTTGGCGCTCGGCCAGCACCGGGGGAGAGCAGAGTGGAGATGCCGCTCTGCCCGGGGATGGGTCCAGGGGTCCGCGGCCTCCCACGGAGTCTGCAGGCGCTGGACTGCTTGGCGAATGGCCTCATGGCTGCCCATGTGGACCAGGTGCGGCATGTGGGGCACGGCCGGGGAGCGGAGGGCCGTGGGTGACGGGCGGTAGCCTGGGCTCCACAGGGCGGGTCTGCTTCTGGTTTCTGTGTGCCGGGCCCTGTCTCATGGGCTGGCTCTGCGGTCTGCTTGCCCCCCAGCTGCCGTCCCCCTACAGAGGGGTTTTCTGCCGGACTCGTGTCTGGGGAACTGACTTCAGGTCCTTGGGGATCCTGGGCAGACCTGACACTCAGCGAGTGTGAATGTGTGAGCATGTGTGCTCACAGACTTGAAATGAGACGCAGACTCCCGGGGCTGGATCCCACCGCCTTCCCCGCCCTGGGATGTGGATGGTGGCTTCCCCTGAAATGAGACGTAGACTCCTGGGGCCCATCCCACTGCTTTCCCTGCCCTGGGGTGTGGATGGCGGCTTCCCCTGAAATGAGACGCAGCAGACTCCCGGGGCCGGATCCCACTGCTTTCCCCGCCCTGTGTGTGGACGGTGGCTTCCCGGCTTGTCCTCGAGGTTTTGCTGCTGTGTCCTGTCCTTGAGCAGACCCTGTGAGCGTGTGTGTCTCTTGACTTTGCCCAGTTGAATCAGCCTGCGACTTGCTGGCATTGCCCCCCGTCACGGCGGTCCGCCTGGTGGCCCTCCCATCTCCCTGCTCTGGGTGCTCGGTCACCTGCGAGGCCGTGGCAGGCACGGCTGCCTCACGATGACAGGCCGTTGGAGCGCCTGTTTTGGGCCCTGTGTTTGGTGCTGAGGAGCTTGGATGCTGGTGTGGTTGGGACGGCCCCCGCGAGGGGGTGGCAGTGGGGTGGGCAGCTCAGGGCCTGGCGGTCGTGCTGACCTGGCCCTGCTCCCCGCCTTGTCGGCGCCGAAGGGCGGCGGCCTTGACCGGTGGCCTGCCCATGGGCCTGGAATGGCGTCTTCTGGTTTTAGCTCACATTTCTCTGGTATCTAGTGGGATCGGTTTCCCGTGGCCACTGGGCATTTGGGTCTTAGTTGCACTCTGTGTATTTTCCCCTCCTGTTTGTCTTGCTCTTGTCAACGGGCAGGGTCTCCGTGTGTCTTCTGGACGTGCCGGGTCCAGCATGCTGGCTTCTCCTCGTGGTGCTGCTGATGAGAGCACGTTTTTAACTGCAGCACCACTGTGTTCATCAGTCTTCCTTGCAAGATGTGCGTGCTTCTGTTTAATAAATTCTAGCACAAGGATAATGGTTTTGCCTTTACTTCCTCTGAAGCTTATACAATTTGTTTTTCATATTTAAGTCTTGCAATCACCTGGAATTTATTTTTATGTATGGGGAGGGTGGAGTGTAATACACTACTTTTCTCTGTTATAACAAATTGTCCCCGGGCCCTGGACTGAAAATTCCCTCTCTATAGACCTGTGGTGCCAGCTCTGTGATAAATGTGTTATCTATGCAGATTCTCTAGGTCAGTTCTGTTTCTGTGCGAGGCCGCACCCTGATTTTCGCAGTTATTGTAACTGTAGATGCTGTTCAGGGCAGGTTGCTCCATTGTGTTTCCGTGGACGTGTCCGGGCACTCTGGCCTCTGTTGCTGAATGGATTTCAGAGTCCCCCGTCTGCCACTCGGCTGAGATCGGTCCCAACCTGTGTTAACGTGTGAGACTCAGCCGTGCTGTCTTCACCAGTCTTCTGCCTATGAGACCGTAGGTCTCTCTGTTGAGGGGTCTTTAATGTCTTTCAACAAAGTTTGTAATATTCTCCATATTTTACATATCTTTCATTAAGTTGATTTTAACAAAAATGAAAACTTTTTTTTTTTGCTGTTATTGTAAATAGTACCGTTATTAATGGGACAGGTGCTTCCCAGTTGGTGCTAGTGGTAAAAACCCTGCATGCCAATGCAGGAAACATCAGAGATGTGGGTTCAATCCTTGGGTGGGGAAGATCCACTAGAAAAGGAAATGGCAACCCTTTCCAGTATTCTTGCTGCCTGGAGAATCCCCATGGACAGAGGAGCCTGTCCATAGGGTCACAAAGAGTCGGACATGAGCTTAGCATGCACATTAATGGAGCATAGTACCCATTCCAAGTCTGTGTTGCTGGTGCACGCACGCACGCACAACTGGTTGTTCTAGGAAGGAAAGTGCAGGTTTTACGTAATATTTGCATCTTATTTTTTAACTTTCTGAATGTGGGAAATTCCAAACAGGAAAGTAGACACAGTGGCATCATGAACCCAGCACTGGTGCACTGGGTGTGGGGCGGGGGGTCATGCCTGAGGCTGGTTCAGCATCACCTGCGCGCTTGTGACCCCTCTCCCCAGACGTCCGCGTGTCTCCTGTGTGACCGTCTCAGGGCGGGTCTCCTTTCCGTGCCCAGATGTCGTCCAGATGCAGCTGGGGCTTCCTCCCACCCGCGAGCCCTGGGAGCCCTGCAGAGATGCAGCATGTCTGGGCTCCCAACGAGAGGCACACGTCACAGTTGGTGGTGCCTTTTCAGTCTTTCCAGGTCTCTGGATGCTCCCCTTTTAGTTTGCCTTTTTTCTTTTTGTCCCTGGATTTGATTTCTTAAAGAAGCCAGCTGTTCCCTGTGGAACATAGTTGAGTTCTGTCCACTGACAACATCACTGACAAAAGGTCCTGCCATGCTGCTGAAGTCTTTTTATTAATTGTAATAATTTTTTGAGTCTTGAGTTTTCTATATAGACAGTGTCATTTATGAATAATGACAGTATTTACCTCTTCTGTTTCAACGCTTTTATCTTTTATGTGTTTTTCCTTCCGTCCTGAGCCCACTGGAAGCTCTGTTTTAACTCTGAGTAGAAATAGTGATTGTGGCCTCCTTTCTATTATTGTTATTTTATTTTCTATTATTATTATTGTTATTATTATTTTATTTTCTATTATTTTTTCCAGGCTGCACTGTGTGGCTTGTGGGATCTTAGTCCTGTGAGCAGAGAGAGAACCTGTGCTCCCTGCACTGGGGGCACGGAGTCCTAACCACTGGCCTGCCGGGGAAGTCCTGGTGATTGTGTCCCCTTCTCTATTATTAGTATTTTTTTTAAGGCTGTCGTGCAGCGTGTGGGATCTTAGTCCTGGTGATCGTGTTTTTTGTAAGTTTTTGGAAGAGCAAGGCTGCTCCTGTCTGGTGTCTGGGATTTCGCTGTAAAACCACCTCTCCCGGACGGCCTGGAGCTCCTCTGTGGACTGCCTGTTACTCATGCCATCTGCAACAGCTGTCCAGGCTCTCTGCTGCTTCTTGGGTCAGCTTGCTGTGTTTCTGTGGATGCGTGTCTGCTTTTCTGAATGTTCACATTGATTGAAGTAGCACGGTACACAGCCGCGTGTTGTCCGGTGGGACCCGGGCAGCGCCACTGTGTGGTCAGGGGTGCGGCCACGAGGGCAGCGGCCCTGGTTCTGACCGCCTGCTCTGCCGCGATCCAGCTGGGCCCCGACCACCAGGAAATGGACGGGGTTAGGCCCCGCTCTAATGCGGGGGAGATGGAGCGAATTAACAGGCTGAGCTCTGCGCCTGTCTTTTCACTAGCGTCCTTGGCCCCTGGATCCCACCCTCTTTTACTCCTAATGTCGTTTAATTGTTGCTCCCAATTTTCTTGTTTTGTCGTCAACATCGACAGACTCGTGGCAGTTTTATAAACCCCTCCAAAGGGCTGACTTGATTTTCTGAATCTCTATTAAAAGCTCTTTTAAAATCTGATGGATTTCTTTCTGCCCACATTTTTACTGTTTTCCCCCTTTCTTTGAGTTGATGCTGTTTCATTTTCCTAACTCCTAAGATCATTCATATTCAGTTTTTATTCATTTCTGATAAAAGCATTACCATTATAAATGTCCAAATAATCATGGTTTTAGCTGAATCTCACAATTCAAAAATATATAGCATTTTAAAATTAATGTTTAGTTGTAAATATTTAATTTCCCTTGTGAATTCTTCTTTAACCCAGGATTTATTTAGAATTGTAGTTCGTTTTCAAACATGTGTATTTCTTCCTAGTTCTCTTTTGAAACTGATTTCTACATTAATTGCATTTCTGTCAGAAAAGCATCTGCATTTGCTGACAGCTGGGGTGCTGGGTGTGATTCTGGGGGTGACCGGCAGGGCTGCCAGGGAGGCGGGCTGGGGCTCCAGGCAAGACAGAGGGGCCCTGCTGAGACCCCAGGGGTGGGAGCAGCTGTGATAACCACTGCTTGCCGCGCGCCAAGCCCTGCACGTTACGGGTTACTCGGGGACCGTAAAGTTAATTATGCAGAGCTTAGGGTGGGCTCTTGCCGTAAAGTCCCATCACAAATGCAGCAGAAAGCCAAGTGGGATGTTACTATCGTGTAAAGAACTCACATAAATGGAAGGAAAGCCCCCAGATCTGTATACAGATCTGAAGAGAGAGGGGTGGCTCGCAGCCCGTGAGAAGGTACCTGGAGAGATGGACATGAACTTGGCCCTTCTCCTGTGATTTGGCTACAGCGGGTGGAGGGTGGGCTCCCTTGCAGGGGAGGGCACGCTACTCCCTGCCTCCTCCGGACCCCCTCCTTCCCTCTGTCTCAGCCCGGCCACGCCTCTTTGTTAGGGCACCATCAAGGGATACTGGCAGAGATGTTCGCCGCAGGGGATGTGAGGCAGAAACGCCGTTGCTGCCCATCTCAGGGAGCTGGCGTGATGGGCCGTGGTCTGGGATGGGGCGTGAGGCCATCTTGCGGATCCTTGGAGAGCACCGGATGCCCGTCC